TACTCGGGAGGCTGAGGCAGTAGGATCACTTGAGCCCGGGAGTTTGAGGTTGCTGTGAGTTAGGCTAACGCCACGGCACTCACTCTAGCCAGGGCAACAGAGTGAGACTCTGTCTCAAAAAAAAAAAAAAAAGATGTATACCTTAAATATGTACAGTTTTGTATGTCAATGATACCTCAATAAAGCTGTTTAAAAAACATGCTGAAATTTCAAAAAAGGAGTGTCACATGGTAATGTCTTAGGGGATAAGATTGTAGAATAACCACTAAAAATGTTTTTTATTATGAAACACTTCAAATGTATTTTCAAAAGTAAAGAGAATGGTATAATGAACCCCATTCTGCCTGTCACCCAGATTCAACAAAAATCCACTTTAACTATTCCCTCCTACCCCCAATTGGGGACCAGTCCCAGACATATCATTTCATCTGTAAATTATAGTAATCTTTTATCAGAAATAATCCGAATAGATTATCACATTATTTAGCAAATAAATGAATGTGGGAACATCAAATGTTTTGGGAAGAATAATCATTACTACTTCCTCTTTTAGGGATTAGCAAGCTTGTATGAGAAATGCAATCACATAAATGCTAAGGATGACTTACCTGGTGTTTACCAAAAGCTTCTGGATCTTTATGAAAGGTAATGAATTTATGGTGAATGACCAGTTTCTTTGAAAGCTTGAATTAGAATAAACTGATTAAAAATTATGCGGAAGCACTCCAAACATTTACTGGGAATTGGGAAGCATTTTTCTTTCAAATAAGTTTGTGACAGAATCTCTAAATTGTGATTGAAATAGAATCAAAACACTACTAGTAAGAGGATGGACTAATTTTGGAACTTTGATATTATTTTCAGTCAATATAATGGAAGATAATATTTCTTAAACCTTTTCTTTTTTACAAGGAGCTCATTTTACATAATATTAAAGAAGATATGATATGTTCTAATTTAAAACGGTATTTGGGGGATATTTAAATTTTAGTGTTTTAAGTCTTTAGTTGTTTTCGTTAATCAGATTCAAAATCCTTTTTTGTTCTAAGTGTTGACAAACAGAAGTGGTGTGATGTCTGCAAGAAACTTGTGGATCTGTATTACCAAGAAAAGAAACACCTAGAGGTTGGTGAATGATTTTCTGGGGTCCTAGACTTCTTTTAATCAAGCCATTATTAGAAGAAAAACTTTCATTTAGCTTAACAGAAAAGTAAAAATTAATATGTAGTATGATATTGAAAGAATTTAAGAGGTAATACGAATTATAGAGCTTTGAAAACAATAAATTAGAATTCAAATTTAGGGTATCATAACTTCTAAACCAGGGTATAAATTAAATAAGTAAAAGTGTCATCTGTGGAAATTCATGGCCCATTTGTGGTGTCTCCATAGCTGATGGTATAAGTTATGGGAATTGGGGCATGTTATCATCATTCTTGTAAATACTCTGATATCTTAGTCAGACTTCTAATATAAGGGCTGTGTGGATTTGCCCAATCAACTTATTTTTATGAAGTTTATAATAGATGAGGTTCTGTGCTTTTGCAGTTTTTATGTATTAACAGATAAAAAATATTTTTATTTGCAAATTTTACATTTTTATTGGCATTTTTAACATTTAAAATAAAATAATCATTTTAAATCTCCTTTTCAAATAGGTGGCTCGAACATGGCACAAATTGATAAAGACACGGCAGGAAGAAGGTGCAGACAACCAAGAGCTTCATCAGCTATGGAGGAAATTGACTCAGTTGCTGGCTGAGAGTACTGAGGATCAGAATAATGAAACTCAGCAACTGGTATTGACTCATTTATTCCTCGAGTTTGTTCATGAAAATTGATCATTTAATTGAATTTAGAAATTAGAAACATAATAAAATAATATAGAAGAGTATCGTATATCAGATTAGGTATTTTGTAAATGTACAATTTTAAATTCACAGAGGCTCTTCCTAATTAAGTCAGAATTATTGGTCTGCAGTCTTATACAAAGTCTAGATGGAGTGGAATTGGTAGTCAAGGTATCAGAATTTCGTTCCCTGTATTCATAAGAATCCACGATAAAGGAGTAGTTTAATCACTGTAAAAAAGAAACTGAAAATTATGTTTCACAAAACTATAATTTCTAAAAAGTTATACTTTAAAAGTGTGTTTTTTTTACATTTATAATCTAAGAATAATGAATAACTTTGAGGTTTAACAATTCTACCTAGAGTATTTATATATAATATTTAGAGTATTTATACCCAGAATATATTCCTTTTAGATGAGCAGATTTTTGGGTAATTGAAAATCATTTTAAAAGACAGTAAAAAACTGATTTTGAACCATAATTGGAAAATGTCTCTATTATTCTTTTTTTAATTGATAAGTGTAAAAGTCAGCTTAAGTTCTTATTATAGTAAATAGCTACTCAATGTACACTAAATTGAATGGAATTTTTAAACCTAAACAATTATAGGTTCTGTATAGGATGGGAAGTTCATTTTTTTGTTTGGTCATTTGTTCACTCATTAATTTGTTCTTTTATTCAGAAAATATTTATTGAGAACCTACTACAGGCAGTGTCCTAGGAGCTGGGGATAAAAATGTGAGAATAAGATTTCTATTTGTGTGATAACGTGGTTTATCTGTTCATAGATTCAGTTGTAGAAAAATTGACCAGTGACAAAATTAGGTAGCTTACCAACTTCTCTTAAATCATATCATTGTAATATAGCTTTATTATTTTCCATAAAATAGTATAGATTATCAGAATATCTAGCACATACCAAAATGAATAAAATGCCTTTTTGGATTGTCTATACTACACTTATCTGTGAAAGAGAATTACTTATAATTTTAAGAACTGATTTCTAACTGTTAAGAATAGGATAAAAAGGCTTTTGGGGAGTTTATTATCACCTTGAATACTGAGTGTTCAGAAAAGATGTGTCATCTGTTTTTCATTTGGAATAATTTTATTACTATTTTAAAAAACCTGTTATGTTAGACTGTTGAAGCTAAGTTTCCTTCTTTGAAAGATCGTTAATTTTATCAGAGCAGTAAAATTTTACGTATTTATGTAGACTTTATAGCATACTTTCCAAAGAAAATTTGAGGTATTATGGATTTTTAAGTCATGAATATTCATTTTAAAAACGTAGAACGTGTAACCAAATGAATGGTATGAAGTACTTTAAAGTGCTTGCCTTGGATTCTACTAATTGCTGTTCTTGCTCAAGAAATATTTAGAAGGCCTCTTTTGGAATTTCCTTCAAAATCAGTTAATACTGCATGAAAGAAGTGATTTCATTATAGTTCCATCATATCTTTTTTTCTTTTACCAAAAGTATGACTCAGTTTCATAAAAATTTTTTTAAAGGTTGAAGATTTACTACCATTGAAGATGTTTCAAAGCATATGCTAGTGATCTCAGAAGAGATGTTTTAAAAATGATGCGAGCAATAGCATCTATACTAGTATTTAAGACTGTACTCTGGTTGACTGCTTTGTAGGCAACAGCAAGCACTTAGAAGAATGTTTTGTTAAATTAATGTTGTTAAATTTGTATTGTCACTAGTTCAGTGCAGTGTAATGGCCAGTTGGAGTTAGAATGCACTCCAGAATTTACGTATACACATTTTTTTCCTCACTGAAATTATCAGGGCCTAGTTAAAGGTACAGTTTGTATAAAGGAGTCTTATACATTCAACCATTTATCACATTTGTCATTGAAGTATATGCTACAGATGATAGCTTTTTTGTTCGTTTCAGCTTTTAACTGCTTTTGAAAATGCACTGGACTTATCAGATAAGATTCCTAGTGAAGATCACCAAGTGCTTTATAGGCATTTCATTCAGTGTTTATCCAAAGTAAGTTGATTTTTTAAATCTCTAATATGACTGTTATATATTTCTCATTGGGAAAGTGCTCACAAATACATTTTACTATGACTGGAAATTTAGTTTATTTTGCTTTTATATTTTCAAGTTTCCTCATGAGACTGCTAGGCTGAAGAAGGCCTGTGAAGGAATGATAAACATCTATCCTACTGTACAGTATCCATTAGAAGTGCTTTGTTTGCATTTAATTGAATCAGGTAATTTCTTATTTATCATATTGTGTGTCCTAGAGGCATGTGATTGTGTGGGAGTGATGCTGCTATCAATCAGAAAGTGTTTTAATGCCTACCATGTATAAGGTATTGTTTCAGTGTTTCTGGACATAAAAGGAAGTACAATATGTAGTCTTTGTGTACATGAAAAGGCTAATAGATACAGGGAAGTACAGTGATAGAGGAATTATGAGTTATTGAATTCATTGTTGATCAGTGAAGTCTTTTTGATGGTGGAAATTGAGGGGGGTGGCTCTTGAAATTTCCTTAGTTATTAGATAAACAGGAGGAGGTGAGAGGTACTCCAGATGGCATGAGCAAAGATGTGGAGCTAGATGCATTTTTTAGGAATAGTAAAATAGGTTTGTTTGCTATAGTGGAAGGAATAACTAAGGTATATTTTGACTAAACAGGTTGGACTGTATTACATGGGGCCATGAATATTATGAAAAGGATTTTGGGAAAGTTTAACTTTCTCAGTGTTGATGTCACGTGATAGTGTCACAAGTACATTGTTATGAATACTGTAATATTATAAAGTAATGAAGTTTGTGAATGACCTTTTCTAATGAAATAGAACATATTCAAGTTGAAGAGTATATTGCTGTGTATATTTCATGTTACTGCATCTTCATGCACTTTCTTTGGGGGAAGAGAGAAGTGATGATAACTAGCTTTCTAGGAGTTGGCATACTTGTAGGTGTGGATGTCTTGCGTCCAAGGCTGGTATTCAGGCAGTTTACAGGAGGCTGGCGATATTGGTTTTTCTCGCCAGCTTCTGTCCTTTTTGTCAGTGTCTGTGCTAAATAGATTGCTTTTTAAATAATTTGAATATCACTCCTGTCCACGTCTATATTCACTTGAGGTGAACAAGTTCACAGCAGTCAGTCACTGAAATAGAAATAATAGTACATACACCATGTTATTGTAAATTATTGCAGAGCTTTACTAATCCCTTTGATTTTTTTTTTCACTTGATTGCTAAATGAGCATATACTTGGGGATGCTTTGTATGTGAATGACCCTCACATGTGTCATAGTAGAAAAATGATTGAAAACTACTGCTAGAGATAACTGAGGGAAAATTCCAGGTGGAAAACGACTATTGCACCTATTTTGATTCTTTTCACTTCAGCTATTCTTTATAAGTCCTACTTGTACTTTTTTTTGGGCGGGGTATCTGGATAAAAACAAAAATGCTGTTGCCTTCAGTCCTGGATTTTTTTGGTGACATGTAAGCAGATTCTCTTTTTCTTGCTTTAACTGAGTCAAAGATAGACTTACAGGAGCACTTTTCATTACCATGAGAAAAGAAAACAAAGAGTATCATAGTGAATGGATTTAGGAAGTATAAAGTCTTAAATTAACATGGTGTGCAGGATAGATTGTATAGAAGATAGGCTAGATTGAGTAGACTAAGTGATGATAGGAATGAATGAACTAGGAGTGTGATACTGGTGATAGAAAGGAACAGATGAATGAAAAGAATGAAAGTGACTACTTAGAGGTGAAGGGAGGGAAAAATCAATTTTAACTTTCAGCCCTCCACGAAAGTTGGCCCAGTAAGGCATGATGGTTTGTATGAAAGGTAAGTTGATAAGAGGAGATGTTAAATGGTAGTCAAAGGGAAATGCCCATTGGTGGTTTGCAGATGAGAGATTGATGCTAAGGCTAGACATATGGTTTGGAAGTCATTTGCATGTAGGTGAAAGTGAAGTGGAGTAGATGACATCAGAGGAGGACTGAAGGGGAAGAGACTGAGAAATGTACATTGGGCAATGCTGGCTGGCTTGGAAGGAAAGGGAGGGAGAAGAGGAAGAGAGGAAGTGGAGGACAGAGAGGAAGGTGGGGGACTCCGACAGGAAGCAACACAAAACAACACAGTGAAAGAACATTTTATGATTAGGAGGCCTTTATTAAGGCAATCTTTTTTAATCATAGTGATCAAATTGGAACTTGGATTACAATGATGAGGTAAGAATAGGTAGAAGTGGTTAGTAGGTATAAAAAGAAAAGCACTCCAGGGACTGGGCTAACTGCATTAAGGGGAGAGAAGGAGAAAGTGAAGCACGTGAAAGGATAGTAAGCTTTTACAGGGGGAGGAGAAGAATTGCAGTAGTGATGCCTGGCAAAGAGCATTCCAAGAAGAAAGGGCTAATTAGGCCAAGGAGGATAAGGAACACTTAAGAGACTTTCAGCACAAGGAGCATACATACTTAAGAAGTTTTTTTTGTGTCTTTTTTCTCTGATAGTAAGCTTAGTTCCAAAATCACCCAGTTTCTTCACATTTTAGCACAAAACTCAATGTGTTCCAAAGATAAATGGGCTAATTTTCTTTATTGATGGCCTCTGATACCCATCCCTCCATCTCTTTTTCTGCTGTTGTTATACAATTCTGTTGAGAAATTAATGGCTGGTGTTCACTCTTTTCTATCTAGTTCCGCTCAGCTATTAATGGTTTGCACTTCAGTCTTGGCCTGCTCACATGCCAGGTGGCACAAGTGAATACTTTGGAATTTCTTTTTAAGGACTGATGGAATGCTTTCTCAGTAAGCATAAATATACTATAGCGTGGATTTGTTAAGTAAAAATGGATCTTATATTCCAAAAAGTCTACAAAATAATAGAAAAATAGGATAAGTAGTTTGCACATAAATTCTGTAGTCAACAGTGCTCTAATAAGAGATAGTGAAGAGATTATATTGATTGATTAGAAATTATGTTGGGTTAAACGAAAAGAATCATTTTGAAGAGACTTTGGAGATGGTTATTGTGCAGAATTGAAAGAAAGGGAGGTCTATGTCATGCAAAAAGGAGTCAATAGGTAAATATTTACACAAATAGTAAAACTAAGGAAGAGTTCTTACCCCTCTGAATTGTTGGTTGCTAGAAGTTGCAGAATTGAGTAGTTCAGGTTTAGGTACATTCCAAGGTAAAATTATTCTGGGGGTGGAAGTTTAATAGTTAATGCAGAATACTTTTTTTTCCTTTGCTCCTCTAAACCAAACTTTCTGTGTATTAAGAACTTCTGAAAAATCTGTAAGGTTTCTAAAGTCTGACCCTCCCTCCCTCAAAGTTCTTCAGTATCTGCAGAATTTGCTACTTTACAGCAGTTAATCACTGGGTTCTCTTCCACTGAAGACAAATATGTTTCAATCTCCTTTGTCCTGCCTTTCCTGTTGAGACTTGAAGATTCATTTTCAGTATGACTCAGTTTTTAAAGCTTCATATAACAAATAATGGCTTTCACAGTTGTCATCTGTTGAAATGTTTTTTCCATGCTAAATGACCTTTTTGAATTATTTTGCTTTGTTGTTGAAATGGGGGAGGATAAGAAAGGTTGGTTCTTCAAATTCAAGCAGAAAGAGCTTCTTTAAGATTTTGTGCTCTAGAACTATTAGAAAATCCAGGTGAAAATAAAGACATAAATGCCATCAAATTATATATTTTTTTCCTCCCAACTGTGTTTATTTGAAAGAAAAATTCTATAATATTTATCAGTTTCTTTAGGATGTCAGGAATGAATTAATTATTTAAAAAAAAAAAAAACCTTACCTTTTTTTGTAGTAAACTTTAAGAAACAATTCCATGGTTATTACTTAGCATCCAACCTGGACCTCCTCAGAATATTCTTTACCGTAGGAATTTTGGCATTTATCAGCCCCAAGTCTAGCTTGACTTTTTGAGAAATAAAAATAATATTGTCAAACTCTTTTAAAGTCATTAAATCTGGAATTGTAGAGTCCTTTAAATGTTAAAAAGAGCAGGTAAGTTAAATAAAAGCAATGAAGTCTATTTCCTCTCTCTTTTTATCCTCCACCGAAGTATTTATTTAGTATTCTCCATAAAAATTAGTATGGAGAAGAGGATTGGGAGTTGAATACTCCATGTCTCTTTACACAGGGATCTTAGTGTTGTTATCACTGTTGCTAGTTTTCAGGAACACTATAGAAAATTCTTCTAAGTGACACTTGGTCATATGCAGAGAATGTTACCCAGGGCTAAACATGAACACAGTCTTCCCAAATCTTATTTCATTTTTATAATTGTGCTCCCGGGCTTTAGCAAAGGTAATATGTTAGGAAGGTTTACCTTGTTTTAAAGGTTGTTTGTGTTTATCTCAGCCTTTTGGAAATTGTTTTCATGCACCTGCCTACACTTTGCTTACCTGTGTGCAGTTTTAGAGACCCTGCATATGAATGATCATTGGAGAGATGAGATGCATGATTGACTTCTCTCTTCATCCTTGATGGATGTGTTTTCTGTAATTAGGGCAGTTTATGTAGCTAAGATAGTCTGTCATTAATTATGTTTCCATGGAGGAAGAGAATTTTGACTCAGATGGGTAGAGATTGAAGGTAAAATTTTAATAGCTATTTTTTTTCTTTTTTAGGATGTAAAGATTTTAAATTTTCTGTAGTGATTCTCAGCCATTACCATTAAGAGACTGAAGACCTTTTTGAACATAAGTACATGATGGTATTTTTAAAGGATCATCACAATATTTAATGAACACCTACCATGTATAAGATACCATGCTAATCTGTATTTTCCAGAAGTTACCATTTAGCTACAGAGGCAACAAAGGCAGGGTATATAGAGACTAATAATAAAGGTGGTATGTAGTATTAGCAAATACTGTAGACTTTTGGTTCTTAAAGTGTGATTTCTGGACTAGTAGCATAAGTATCACCTGAGAACTTGTTAGAAATGCAAATTCTCAGGTCTAACATCAGACCTACTGAGTCAGAAACTTTAGGGGTAGGGCTCAGCATACTGTGTTTCAACAATTCCTCCAGGTGATTCTGATGCCTAATGTAGACAATGTCTAGTTTAAATAAAACTACTGGATAGAAAGGGAAAAAGCCACTGGTTTGCTTGGGAGGAAATAGAATGTATGAAACTAGGCATATCTATTCTTGGAATTCATATTTATGGAAGCAGTAGCGAGAACATATTAACAGAAGGAAATTCATGCCTGGAAGCATAATATTAATAGTGGCAGGCTTGTGTCTTTTTTATGGGCTTGCTAATCAAAATAGTATTTCTTTCAGTTTGTTTTTGTATTTTACCAAATAATACTGAAGTTTTAATTCTTTAGCTGTTATGAATTTTTTTTATTTTTTTGGTGCTAACTTAGATTTCTAAAGCAGAATATGACATGTTACTTATGGATTATACATTGATTTGCACCTGGTTTTGAAAGATTTGAAGTATGTAAATTAATGATATGAAAGTAATTTACTTTTGACATCTATGACTGAAACAGTGGTTCCACATGTGGTTTGGGGGTATATGTTCTGTATAGATATTAAAACATCAGATTTTTTATTCAGATAAATTATTTGTTCCACACATTTACTGCTTCAAGTTGTAGTTCGTCTTAATTACTTTTAAAGAATTTTCCTGTGTGATTAGACAATTTATTAAATTATCTAATGTAAATGCTATTCACAGTTATTCAAAAACAGAAATCATATTTTTAATTTGTTTTTATGCTTTTCTGGGAATGGAAATCCTAACATTGAGGTTGGAGAAAACAGAAATAGAACAAAATATATAATGTTTTCTAAACTAAATTGTTTTATCAAAATAAATTTGAAAATAAATGTAGGCATTGGGTGATTATTTCATAAGCTTAACTGTTATATAGAAAAAGATAGTTTTAGAAAAATGTGGAAATGTGAAATGTGCTACTGAGCTTGTAAATGTAAGAAGACTATGACTAAAGTCTTTGTGCAGTGTCCTGATGAGTAAAGTCTTCCAGCATCCAGTGATCCTAGGATGCTGGAAGAGTCCACTAGATCTGGCTGCCATGTTCATGGTTGCCTAGGGAGAGAAATTGATGAAGATACTCATTTTTGTAGGGCTTCCTTCAGTTAACAACCAAAATTGTTACTGCTGAATAGGAAAGAGAGACCTGGCAAGCGGTAGGCTATCTGGCTTAGCCTACTGGTCAGTAGCAATAAAACCCTTGGGTATAACTTCAGATTCAGTGTCTGCATAAAGTTGTTTCTATTTCCAATATTTAAGAAGATGGAAGTGCATAATTTTTTAATGTTAATATTTTCTGCATTTGCTTGGTCCATTCAAGTTTTGAATTCCTGGAATCAGGGTGTAGTGAAGGGTGTATAAGATAGCTTTTGAGATTTAAGTGTGTAGGTTTTGGCACTTAGAAGCTTGGTGTATATATATGTATATGCTAATAATGTTTTCTCTTAATTCCAGGAAGTCTTACTGATGAGGGACAGCAATTTTGTTGTAGACTAGTGGAAATGAATCCAAAAAGTGGTCCAGGCCTCATTGGCTTAGGCGTTAAAGCATTACAAGACAAAAAGTATGAAGATGCTGTTAGGAACCTAACAGAAGGTAAATGTACAGTGGATAGCATGTAACATAAGTTGTAGTTGTTACTCAGTCAGTAGGCATTTGTCTGTGAGCCTTTCCTTGAGGAATATATATCTATGATGGAAGGGAAAAAACATGCCTACATACTCTGGAGTCTTCCTAGGTTTGAATTCCAACTCTGTCATTCACTAATTTAAACTTTCTATGTCTCAGTGTTTACATTTGTTAAATAGGGATATATATATATATGTATATATATATATATGTAAAAATATACATAGAAGTCTTGGGATGACTTTAACTTAGTCTTATCAGGTATGATGTTTCTGGAAGAACCTACAATTCAAGTTATCTGAATGACAGATACAAGCCAGGCAGATGATGAAGGGGATGGGAGGAGCACTTTAGGCCGAGAGATGAATCTATGAAATAGCCTGAGGTAAGAGGAAAACTGTTGTTCGGGGAACTGCAAGTAGTTCACCAAGATTTGAGAATGAAGTATATATATATGGGAAGGGACAAGAAGTAAGGTTGTAGAGGGGTCTTGCAGACCTTGTTAAGGAGTTTGCACATTATCCTGAGGACAGTGGGGAGTCAGTGAGAGGAATTTTATAATCTCATTTGTATTTTTAGAAATATTCTGGCTACAGTGTAGAGAATGCATTGTAGCCGATGGCAAGCACTTACAGTTTTCTGGGGTAAAGGTGGTGATGGTCTGAACTGAAGTGATATAGATGGAGAAAAACATATGTAGAGAAATAGATGGGGAGAATCAATGTGAATTTGTGACTGATAAAATGTGAGAGATGAGGAAGACAGCTAGGGTCTGATGTGGAAGGAAAGTAGATAATGGTGCCGTTTATTTCAGTAGTCACGGAAATCTTTTTTTTTTTTTTTTTTTACTGTTTTTATCTTTCCAGGGTTAAAGGAAAGCCCCCTGTGCACAATTGGATGGTATCATCTGGCAGAAGCCCAAGTCAAAATGCATAGACCTAAAGAAGCTGTTTTTTCATGCAGTCAAGGTATTTTTGACATCTTTTGGCACATAAAGGTGGCCAAACTTGTTTGTTTTCATCTTGAAGGAGAAAGATAGTGATTTTTAGAAAGCCAGATGCTATATTTTGCATTTTAAATTGCTAATTTAAATTTTATTGAGGTTAAATAAATGCCAAGTCTATATGTATGTCTACTAGTATATTTAATTTTAGACTGACGATAAGTATTTATCAAAGGTTTCCTGTATTTATAAATTTTGTCAGTTTAGGCGTGGGTGGAGGTATTCTGTCTTTGTAACAAGGAAGTTTCTGGTATATCCAGGACCTTAATGGGTTCTTAATTTCTCTGATGTAGACAAGGGAGTTCTTAGGCATCTTGGAGCCTATTTGAATGTGATGGGCTGAGTGTGGGGATAGGAAATCATAAAAAGTGATTCACTGTGTCTGACCCCATCTGGGAGTCTACCTGCTGTAATTGAGAAACAGTTCATCTTGGTTAATTCTAAATTCAGCTTCTTTCTCTTTCCAGTATCCTGAATTTCTTAACGTTTGTTACAGATGCTTTGGCTAAGTGTTAACCTTTATTACGTAGCAGATATAGATAGCCTTTGTTGTGTTTCAGTATGTTCAGTTTTATTATGTGTTATATGAAGATAGAGGTTTTAAATTCAGATATGTTCTGTTTTAAATTCAGATCTTTCCGTAAAGAATTCAGGGAAGAATTTATATTTACCTTTGAATTATTCTTCATGTCTGTTGTTTTGGAAATTTATGCTTGTTGTATCTGCAATTTATTGTATGTCATTCTTAACAAGAGAAAAAAGTGAAGTGATGTGGTCATCTTCATTCAGATGTCCTTAATTTTGTCAGCTCTGAAGAACATAGATAATCTGGGTGTGTCTGGTAGCAGTCTTCATCAGAAGAATCTTTGTCTTCATTTGAAAGCAGAAGCATTGATCAAACTCTCAGATTATGAATCTTCAGAGGAAGCACTTCGTACTCTTGATCAGGTGGTCTTGTCATTGAGTTTTTCCCTTCAACTTTAATTGGTTTCACATCAACCAGGCAACAACCATTCTCTTCCTACCACAAATATTTTCTTGTACAAATTTTATGTTAGAGGTATGAATTCACCATATCTGCACTTTTATAAATCATTCACACACTTGGAAACTCCTCAAGTTACTTGTTTGCCTCTTCCTTAAGTACTAACAGGACTCTTCACATGAGGCAATTCCTTTCTTTAGTTCTAGCTTTTATTCTTTTCTTTTTTGCCTTCTTAGGTTATTACTACTTGATTATTATTAATTTGGGATTCTAACTTTTTTTTATCCAGGAAATGTTTTACTATTGACAGGGATAATTAAGGACATTAGTATAATAGTTTCATGATAGAGAATGTTGTTTATGTGTTTCATTCAAAGAAAGATTATTTAAGAATGAAACTGATTTCTTAATGTTTTTGGTTCAGGCAATTTGAAATTCTCTACTGAAAAAATTTTAGCAATTTATGAGTTATAACAACATTGTTCCTTAAAGATTTTTTTGTCAGGTAAAGGCTATTTTTTGTGTAAAATCACAATTATGTCACTCAGCATATTAGAAAGTTTTCAATTCAGTTTTTTTTTAAATCATTGTTTTGTATATTTCAAAGGGCTTTGCATTTCATATTTCTTTAAAATTAGAGCACTTGTTAGCATCCTTCAAGAATTGATATCTTATTTTCCTTTTGCTTTCCCACTAGTAATGTTTTTTGTGTATGTGCTTTATAGAGATCTTTCCAATAATTTTTTCCACAAAAAGACAAAATGAAAAGTCTCTTGGAGAACTGGAAGAGTCCAGATCTGAGACAACGTGTACAAAATGAGCTCAGAACATCTTGTCATGTTAGAAAACAAGGAAACTATAAAAGGCTACTAGGATCATGTTGAAAGGGCTCAGCAGGTAGCTTAAGGAGATTCTCACTGGCTAAAGAGGGCACCAGTAACTGTAGTTTATTGAAACACATCAAATATGTTTAAATCCATGTGTTCATGATGATACAAAAAAAAAAAAATCAGTAGACATCCTCAAGAAAACAAATCTTTGGAGGATGCTAAGAAGGCAGCTGGAAAGAATCAAAGCATTTATCCTGTGTTTCCTAAATGAATCATTTTTCAGGATAACCAAATAATGAGCATAGGAAATGAGCAAATACTTATTTGTTGAGGTATTCCACCTAATAAGAAAAGAAGAAATGATAGAATTATAAAATCACCATTTTGCAGTCCCTAATGAATTAACAGATGTAGGCATTGAGGATTAATAGCTACTAACATCACAGAAAGACAATTAGATACATCCAAGTGCAAGTACACATGAAATATTCCTGCTAAAACCCCACACCTGAATTACATCAAGCTTCTAGACCTAACTACTAATTCACAGAAAATATAAGAGACCAAGGAACATGTTAAATACCATGAGAATACATTCAGCAAATCCAGACTGTAAGAAACAGTGACAAATAGGCCATATTTTTCAATGGTTACATTTTAAAAGAAAAAAAAGAGAGATGAAAGGGAACCTTGTATTATAGGAAAAAGAGACTTGAAACATACTAGTCAGTCGAAATGTATCTACCTTAGTTGGATTTTGTTTTTTTTTTTGTTTGAGACAGAGTCTCACTCTGTTGCCCAGGCTAGAGTGCCGTGGCGTCAGGCTAGCTCACAGCAACCTCAAACTCCTGGGCTCAAGCGATCCTTCTGCCTCAGCCTCCCGAGTAGCTTGGACTACAGGCATGTACCACCATGCCCGGCTAATTTTTTCTATATATTTTTAGTTGTCCAGCTAATTTCTTTCTATTTTTAGTAGAGACGGGGTCTCGCCCTTGCTCAGGCTGGTCTTGAACTCCTGAGCTCAAACAATCCACCTGCCTCAGCCTCCCAGAGTGCTAGGATTACAAGTGAGCCACCGCGCCTGGCCCTTAGTTGGATTTTGATTAAAACAAATTGTTGAAATATTTTATGAGACAACTGGGAAATTTGATGATATTAAGTTCGTTTTGTTGAGTTTGTTCAGATATGATAATAGTAATGTGGCTATGTCATTTAAAAATAAACTTATTTTTTAGGTATAGATACTGAAATATTAATATATCATACATAAAAAGTTATAATATCTAGGATTTGTTTCAAAATAATCTGAGCAGGGGTGTGGTAAAATGGGTGCAGGTATAGATGAGGAAAGATTGCCTTTGAGTTTTATAATTTTCTCGCTTGATGATGGGTACATATGGGTTTATTATACTAGTCTCTAATTTTTTTTTATGTGTTTGAAATTTTCCCTAATAAAAAGGTTATGAACAATGAAAGTGTTAGTGGTGATAGAAATTAGGACCTCTATGTCTTTATTCTGTTAGGACCCTGTCCTTCTGTGGTCATTGTTTAATTAAAGCAAACATTGCTGTGGTTGTGTTGAAAGAGATTTATAGCAGTTCTTTACCATTATTTCCTAGGTCTCTGATGCAGATAATATCCCTGGACTTTTAGTTCTTAAAAGCTTGGCTTATGTGAACAAAGACTCATTAGATGAAGCTACAAAGGTTGGTTTTTTAATTCAAACTGAGCAATTTTTAAAAGTTAAAAGTCATTTTTATTTGGATATAGAATTGACAGTTACCTGCTTTATAGATTGTGGAAGACCTTCTCTCTTCTTACCCTGACCTAGCTGAAGCTCATGCCCTTGAGGGTTCGATTCATTTTACCAAAAAGGACTATCTACAAGCAGAAAAATGGTAAGGGTATATAGATTGCTCACAGATCCAGTCACATTAGTTTACCATATTTTTCAAAAATTCAAAATGAGTGGGCTTGATGAAGATCTGATTTTGTATAAATTTGATCTTTGTAGACTGTAAGTCTTATATTTTTAAGAAATGTCTTTAGCATGTAGCACAGTAACTATAAAAAAATCTATGATGGGTTTCAAATCTGATTAGCTGATCATAATGTTCAGTAAGCAGATGTAATGTTTGGTATATGCTCTGAACACTTAGCACGTGGTAGTGCTAAAAAGCCATTGTGCTTTTTTAAGCTTCTCTTCTTTACAAACAAATTATTTTTTCTCATTAATCTAATCCTAAAATAATGACTTGTTTCTAATTTGGCATCCTTCAGTCACTCAAACTTTGTTCGCACTGGGAGTCTCCTATATTTTATATAGGAGCAAATATGTGTGTGTGTGTGTGTGTGTGTGTGTGTGTGTGTGTGTGTGTGTATGTATATATATATAGTGTGTGTGTATTTATTTTAATATTCTTTTTTACTTCCCTTTGTTGACTTAGTTTTCAGAGAGCACTTGAGAAAGGTGCTGAAGTTGCTGAATATCAGTACCAACTTGGGTTAACATACTGGTTTATGGGTGAAGAGACAAGAAAAGATAAAACAAAGGCTCTTACCCACTTTCTGAAGGTAAAACAAGTGCTACTATTCAATTCTTAGTTGAAATGGCATTTTAAAATCATAAATAATAATTATATGTTAGTTATTCAAGAGTACTCTTAACGGCTTTTTGTGGTTTATCTCTCACATAAAAAGTTTTGCGAGGATGTTATGTGGGTTTTGAAGGAAAAAATTAAACCATAAAATGTAAAAGTTACTTTTTAAGAAATATGTGTTACAGAAAGTGAGGTATAATTATCTCTGGAAAACAATACTGTTTTTAGGTAATGTCCACTGTAGTTTTATAGGCACACAAGTCTAGATGTTTAACTTATTTATTTAAATGTTTAACATCTATAAATCTTACATTATTATCTTGATTTATAAGAGCAGATTAGTAATAGTTCTAATTTCACTTTCTTTTCCCAAAGAAATAATGTTTTTTTACTTCTGTTTATATAAGCAGTGAGGACCAGCTTTCATGTCTGTTTTAAATCTTATATTAAAGGATGTTTTGGCATATTTTTGTATATTTAATAAAATTGTTTCTTTTTTTAATCTGTATATATGTCCTTTGTGTTTTTAAAGATACTCTTGCAAATAAACTTCTAATATTCTGTTATTATCAATATTTATTTCAAAGGCCGCAAGACTGGATACATATATGGGCAAAGTTTTCTGCTATTTAGGTCATTATTACAGAGATGTAGTGGGAGATAAAAACAGAGCCCGTGGATGTTACAGGAAAGCTTTCGAATTAGACGACACTGATGCTGAATCTGGTGCTGCAGCAGTTGACCTAAGCGTGGAGCTTGAAGATACGGTATGTCTAATAACTACTTCTGCCTTTTTGTTTTTTAATCCTGAATATGTAAATAAAAATATTTTTACATATGTATACTTGAAAGTTAGCATTAGTGTTTATTTTTCCTTATAGATGCAATAGAATATTTTCACTTCTCTTTATAAATAGAGTAAAAATTCTTTTCATTGGCAGATATTAAATTACTCATCATTTATTGTTGAAAGTGTAGTTTGGTGTATATTGGTATAAGTTTAAAACATCAAAAGTGGGAAATGAAATGTATTTGTGTACTTTACTTGGGTGTTCCATATTTTTATGATATTTAGTGTCTCTAATAATAGTATTTTCTTATCATTAGGAAACTGCCTTAGCTATCCTAACAACAGTAACTCAGAAGGCAAGTGCTGGAACAGCAAAATGGGCCTGGCTTAGGCGAGGACTGTACTATTTGAAAGCCGGTCAACATTCTCAAGCAGTGGCTGAGTAAGGCACCTTACATATTTAAACTATGTTAGACAAAATAATGGTTCCTTAAATTAAACTTCATGTATACTCAATGAACTTTACAAGTTGCCCCTTACCAGGTTGCATTTTGAGAGAAGAAATAACAAATTTTATTTATGGTCGATTGGTATTTATTGTCTGCAAGGCAGTGGAATTGCAAAAATAGATGAAATGATGTTCTGTTGTTGAGGAGCTAGCCGGTCTAGTGACGTCAGGTCTTAATGGTGTCATATGTATGGTAGGTTATCAATAGAAATTTAAGTAGTATTGAAAAGCTGAGGTACATATCTTTTTTGTTCTCCAGCTGACATGCATTGTTTTGACATTTAGCAGCTTGAAGGGCATTTTAGAGTGGCTCCTATATAATCAATTTTAGTCATTTGGTTTGAACTAAAGAGTATAAAAATATATTTGAATCAAGATAAAGTTTCTGATTTATGTTAATATCTAAAATACAGGCATTTTAAAATTTTTCATAGCAATGGAATTTGATCAGAAATTTAAAGCATGCCTATTATTTCTGTATTTCAAGTGTGATATTTCTGTTTGGTAGAAGGATTGGTGGTGGGGGTTTATAGATGAGACAAACTGAAATGTACAACTGTCCTGGTAGGATAGAAAACCAGAGTTTTTCCAGATAATCAAGGAAAGAAATTCTGGTCAGCACTTTCCCAAAAAGTATTTTATTCTTATTTATTTTGAAATTATAATAAAAGTTCTTAGTATTGAAAAAAAATCAAGTCATAAAAGGAATAGGTTTACCTATTTTAAATAACACTTTTATAAATAGAAGGAGCCATAGATATATGTGATTCAGTTGAATTATTTATTTTATATTTTCCTTTTAGATGTTGAAATAGCTCTGTTACTTTTAGTTCTCTTACTGTTTCTTGAAATTTTAGTTTACAGGCAGCATTAAGGGCAGACCCAAAGGATTTCAATTGTTGGGAATCATTAGGAGAGGCATACTTAAGCAGAGGTGGCTATACAACAGCCTTGAAATCCTTCACGAAAGCCAGTGAGCTGAACCCAGAATCCACATACAGTGTGTTTAAGGTTGCAGCAATACAGCAAATCCTAGGCAAATACAAGGAGGCTGTAGCTCAGTACCAGCTGATCATTAACAAGACAGAGGATTATGTGCCTGCTTTGAAAGGTAATTTTCTTTTTAATAGCTCCTTTGACTTTTGTGATACTGAAGTATAGAATCCTTGAGTCAATTTCCTATCTTAATGTATTGAATAACTTGAAAAGGACTTCTTTAGTCAACAGCAAGCATCTGGTATGAACCTCTTATAGTATAGTTTATATAGATTTGAATATAAAAAGATCAAAACTTGTTTCATAACATTGAATAAATAGTAATGATAGATATTTAACTTTTAGACAAATAGCATGGTAGCTATTGGTTCTAAAAATGGATCTCTAAAATAAGAATTTCCTTGCTCTTATATTTTGATAATTAATTCACTATACCCCAGAATATCTTAATACTTTTTAATTACTTTGTAAGTTATAGAAGTTCATTTTAAAAAAATTGTTAACTTTAAAGGCAATTTGCATTGTTTTGTAATGATATGAATTGATTTCAGTTTCTCCATGGATATCTATTTTTTTCTATATTACAAACTATTTTTGGTAACATAAAGTAAAACACTGCCATCCATGTATAATCTGAATATTTTGTGATTATATCTGACCATTTAAGAAAAGGCTGGAGCTTTACCCCCATTTCCTTTTCCTTTTTAAGGAAACAATTGAGATTTAAATCAGATATAAGTATTATGTTTTAAGTGACATATAGCTTAGGGCTTGAAACTTTTTTTAAAAAATTTTATAAAGCTCTTTCCTCAAGAGAAGGAGAGCTCATAGAGCTTAAAGTCTGCTATACAGATTTTAATATAAGAAAATCAAATTTTGTTTCACAGCAGTTAATAACTAGTAATATGATAGAGAGTAGCATTTAGATGATGTCCCCATTTTTGAAGCTGAGGTTTTAAGAGGTAAGCAACTTGCCGAAAGTCAAGGAAATTCTTAGATTCCATAGATAATGTTTTATAACTTTTAGTGCATGTTTTTATTTCAACAGAATCCTTCCATATGAATTCTGTTCTTCCATTTGAATACTAAAAGTATGCAATATCATGCTTAAATACAATTTTATCAAATAACATTTTGTTTTTTTGAAAATGGCTTTAAAATAACACCAGTAAATTTATTTGAAGTTCATTTTATGTGTTTGTTTTATATGTTTTGGTAACAACTACAAACTTACCTGGTTTTAGGTTTGGGCGAATGCTATCTTATGATGGCAAAAGCAGCTCTAGTTGACTATCTTGATGGGAAAGCTGTAGACTACATAGAAAAAGCACTGGAATATTTTACTTGGTTAGTATTCTTATTATTTATTGTGTTTATTTTCTTGATATTACAATGAAGTCAAATTTAGAAAATCATTTTATGTACTCTGTTAGATATAGCAGTTATTCAGAATGTCAAACATAAAGAAAAACAGACGAACCAACTAATTCTGTAACATACATATTGTATTAATCTTACACTTGGGGAAACAGAAACAGTCTTGTGCTCTCAGTAATGGCTGGCATGCTAAGTGTATAGGAAAGAGTAGAAAGGCAGGAGTAGTGGTGGAACAAGAGCTCCGACACTGTGTGTTAGTGTTCTCTTTCAGGAGGACTAGAAATGAGAATATCCCTAGTTGGGATAGTTCCAATAGTTGGAACTATTGGAAATAGGGCTTCAGGTACACAATGTGCTTTACATTCAGTGGCAGGCTTATTGGTAGGGCTGAAGGTAAGGGGAAATGAAAAATCTGATTACCCCTGGAGAGAAACTGTGCAGGAAAAAAGTGATGTGTCTGATGACAAGAAAGGAATCAGAAAAATTTGAGTAAATTTGGCATTTTATAAACTATGAATTCATTAGTTAGAGCAGAAGTATTATTTGTGGTAGATACCTTTAAAAAGTCCACAAGATAGATGCACATTTGAATTTTTTTGCTCTGATCTTTCTTGTGCTTTCCTTCCTTTCTTTTCCTATTTCTTTTCTCCTCTGTTTTCTATTTATTGGTTGTTCCAGAATTGCTTTTCATATGAACCAGTATGAAATAAAAACCTAACCCTTTTTTTCTCACTGAATTTTATTGCTACTTTTGAATTATTGCGTAATGTAGTTCTTTCCCAAGAGAAAGTTACTATGAAGAGGTCATGCTTTGTATTTGAATTGGTGTTTACAAGTAAATGCCAACCTTTGGGTGACAATACTTTAGCTACAAGTACTGCCTTCCTGATCCTAGGAAATTTTATTCTTGATAACATGTAACGCAAGCAATTATAAAGTGCTATATAAAACTTAATAACCCCCAAATTTATATTTACTTCTAGGCTTTAAAGGAATTCATACTACCACAGTTATTATGTAAGGATGATAGAAGTCATTTCACTTTACATATATTTTTTATTGAACTTAAAAGGAGATAAGAGTTTAGGTGGTTAAAATTGCCTCTATTTCACTTTTTTTTTTCTATTTTCTCATTTTATGCTGTCAATTTTAGAAATTTTTCTAACATATTTAGGCAAGGGAACTCCAAACAGTGTTGTCCTTCCTTCTGAGTCTCACTCACAGTGAGCTCTCGGTCATGACTGCAATAACTAATATTATTTTTCAGGAAGACATTGGAAAATGATTTTTGGCTGGACTCCACGAGTAGAAAAGGCTATGAAAAATGTTCCATCTGCTTATCCATCTGCCAATAACATAGCAGTTGTGATAGCTGATTATCAGAACTTGGCTGAAATGAAATTGCTGTGTTTTATTTATAAGATTTTGAGAAGAGAAAAATGAAGAGAAATATATAACTGAGATTTTTCTCATTCTAAAAAGAAGTGCTATCACCCTAATTAATATTTTAATTTACTTTTTGAGCTCATCCATTCAATGTGCTCTTCTATGAATGTGGATCTTCACAACTTTCATGTTTAATTTTTTATTATTTTTGGTCTCAGAATAAAAATCCTTTGGACCACCAAATATACTTGATACATTTTCTAGTCTTTTAAAGTTTGAGGTGTGTTAGTCCATCTTATGCTGCTGTAACAGAATACCACAGGGTAGGAAATTTATAAAGAATGGAAGTTTATTTGGCTCACAGTTCTGGAAGCTAGGAAGTCTAAGAACATGGTGCCGACATCTGGTGAGGGCATTCCCCCGCCAGAAGGGTGGAAGGCGAAAACTTGAGACAGAGAGAAATGAGGCTAAACTTATCCTTTTATGAGGAGCCCCCCTTCCATGATAAAACTAACCCACTTCTCAGTTAACAGCATTAATCTATTCCTCATGACCTAATCACCTCTTAAAGGTCCCACCTCTCAACACTGTTTCACTGGGGATTGAGTTTCTAACACATGAACTTTTGAGGGACACATTCAAACTATATCATGAAGCACACTCTAAAAGCAAAAACCTCAGTTTACAATTGTCAATTGTAAGAGAGTTACCAACTTTACTGCCTTTGTCATTGCTTAAACCAAAAGAATATAGTTAATTAAATTTAATATTAAAAGTAAATTGGTCCTGGAAAGTTTTTTGATTTATATATGCGATTTCTGCTGCTTCTAGCAAAAATGGTAAAGAGTACAAAAAAAAGTGTGCAAAATTTCTGGCACTAAATTTAAAATAATCAACTCCTCCCTCTTTGCCTTCCTTGTCTTCCTATTTGGGAGATAATATGATATAATTCAGTTAGGAGGAGACTGGTAAAACATTCACAGTGCTTAACTAAGGAAGTAACTCTTAATTAGGATTGCATGTACAATTTTTCTGTTTTAATTGTAAAGTTGTAATGACGGAGATAAACTCCATGCTCTTTGGAAATAATTTATAAGAATCACACTTTCTTTTTTTAGGGCTCTGCAGCATCGAGCTGATGTGTCCTGCCTTTGGAAGCTAGTTGGGGATGCTTGCACCAGTTTGTATGCTCTCTCACCATCTAAAGTGAATGTTAATGTTTTAGGAGTCCTTCTAGGTCAGAAAGAAGGAAAACAAATATTAAAGAAAAATGAGCTCCTCCATCTTGGAGCAAGGTAATTTATAAAGATTGCCAGTTAATGACATTCAAACTGAATTAGGACATTAAACAAAGCATAACATTTGTTTTTATATTTCCATAGGTGTTATGGTCGTGCATTAAAACTGATGTCTACATCTAATACATGGTGTGATCTTGGAATTAATTATTATCGCCAAGCCCAACATCTAGCAGAAACAGGCAGTGACATGAATGATCTTAAAGAGTTGCTGGAGAAATCTTTACATGTATGGTTTTGAGAAATTTTTTATAAACTTTAAAAAAAACTAAGTGCTTTTTTGAAAGATGGTTTTGATAAAATGAATAGTGTTTTCACGTAAAACCACATTTATCTTGATATAAATGCTGATATTCTAAGAAATAAAAATTAATGTAATTTAACTTCTTTTCAGTGTCTGAAAAAAGCAGTGAGACTCGACAGTAATAATCACTTATACTGGAATGCTCTTGGTGTGGTTGCGTGTTACAGTGGTAAGAACTGAATAACACACTTCAGTATTTTTAGAAGATTGTGTGTTTCAGGTAACAAAGTTTAGTTTCATCTTTTTTAGGTATTGGAAATTATGCCCTTGCTCAGCACTGTTTCATCAAATCAATCCAGTCAGAACAAATTGTGAGTGTTCTAAGTGTCTGTGAAAAAGAACTTTGGAATTTAATGTTACTACTTTTCTGAGACTTCCAAGTAGACAAGGGGCCTAATTTAAAAATGTGTATGTGTGTGTGTTTTTTAGAATGCTGTTGCATGGACCAACTTGGGAGTGTTATACCTTGCAAATGAAAACATTGAGGTAAATGTGTTGTCTGTTTTGTCACATTAAAAATAAAGTACATTTTCTGTGTATGATCTCTTCATAATAGCTCAACTTCTTGTGGAGAAATGCTTTGTATAATACATTATCTATTCAGTTTGCTCTCCAATATGCCAGTTCATTGGTGACATTCAATTTATTATGCTGAATTATGAATGTGTGATATTTATTTTCCTTTCCATGGCACTCAAGAAACTTCCGGTTTTAAAACCAGTTATGTTGGTTTTTCATTTAGAGATTAAAATAATTGTTATGAATTAATTAGGTGTATTTCTTTTTATCTGTACACGTGTAATGGACGTCCTGTGTAAACTGTGTTGGGTGTGGGGTGGGTGAAGGTAAAGGAGACAATTAGTATTCTCTAGCAGCTTAAATTTAGCCTTTTCTTGGGTGATTTAGGTTTTGGCTTTAGTGGCTGTTAGTCCCTTTAAATGCCACAGTGTAATTTGTCATACTTGAGCAGTTATACGTTAGAAAATTGGAACTAAAGTAACTGGGAGCATGTTTATAGGTCATGGCTGGAAAGTTTCCACAAATCTGTAGGTAATACCACATCTGAACCGTTTTGTATTTCAGCCAGTATATTGAATCCAATCCTTTTAAAAAAGCTTATGTAATATTCTCAGGGATACATTAAGTCACTGCAAAAAAGAACTGGCTTTAGAAAATTATAAATAGATTGAAAGAAAATATTAATTTGGATTTTAAAATGTGAACGTATCTTTAAAAAAATTTAAATGAAGCATTGTCTTAGTTAATAAGCTATGAATGAAGTTTTATTATAGCATGGCACCATTATTGCCCATGAGCTTACTTTTTTATAGGAAAAATAAGACTGTTTTCTGCTATATCTATTAATAGATTATTGAGAAAACAACACAAAGCAGTGTATACTAAGTTATTTTTTATAGTGGAAAGAAAAGCATGCAAGTTAATATGTCTGTGAGGCATCTTCAAAGTATCCTGACTGCTTAGTGCAGAATTATGTTGTTGACCAGTCTTTCTCCAGAGGCAGATACATGTCTAGGACTTCATTGGTTTTTATTTCTTATCCTCCCAGGTAAGCTCAAAGAGTGGGAAATGGATACAACCTAACTTAATCATTTCCTTCAAACCTGTGGATAGCAAATGGATGTGTGATTGGTTAAAAGCTCTGCAGACTACATGGTAGACACATATATTGCCCTTTTGCTAGGAACCAGAACTCCTTACCTGTGGAGAAATCTTGCACCCAGAAATGTTCTAGGACTGTGTAGCTAAAACACTGCTTTAAGCATTGCTAATTGTGCTTGAGCAATGAAGTTTTAAGTTCATGTATTTCTGATAATATGTTTGACTTTTCGTATTCTCTTATTTTGTGCTTTTTAAACTTCAGCAATTTAAGTTTATAAAATGACTTGATGTGATATTTTTTGCCTTTTTTTCCTAGCAAGCTCATGAAGCTTTCAAAATGGCTCAATCCCTTGATCCATCTTATTTAATGTGCTGGATTGGACAAGTAAGATATATAACATATAGTTGTTAATAAACATTTATATAAATAGCTTATTAATTAAAATTGATATAAAAACCTATTGATATGAATAACAGTGATCATAATGATAACAGGTAGTGTTTGAAGGCTTACTTTGTGCCAAGTCACTGTGCTTAGCTCTTTGTATACATTATTTTGGTCAATTCATCATCAATCCTTTGAGATGTGGTTGATGATATACTCTCTCTATAGATGTGAAAACTGAAGTTCAGAGATCCTAAGTATTGTGGCTAAGGTCACACAGCTTGTGGTGATTAAACTCTGATTTTGAGGGCCTTTGAACCCCATCACTGTGACCTTACTATGCCTAAAAAATAACCCAGGACTCTGTTGTTTAACTCACATTTACAAAGAAAATACACATTTACAAAAGTCATTTTGATTATTATGTTTTCTCATTTTCCATAAAATCTTCATATTTGATTTGCTACTTGTTGAGTGTTCTTTCCTCCTCCAAGTTTAGATTTTTGCATTGCTAAATAGAAATCAGGATGCTTGGTTCCTAGTCTAAACCTGTCACTGACTGATTCTTTTACCTTAATATTATCACTTCTTTGGATTTTAATGTTCTCACTTGAAAAAAAAGGGGATTGGACTGAGTGATCTCCAACATCTTACCTAGTTGAGAAATTGTAATGAATTAGTAAGTGGTTAGTTGTTTTGGTTCAGAGAATAGTAGGAGCATCACCATTATCAGAAAATCATTAATTAGGGGTTAGATATCTTTTATTGTACTTTTGACTCTTGAGTCTAATTCTAGTTAATAAGTGAAGCAAGCAGGGATAGAAAGGCAAACTCCTGTTCCTATTCACTGTGGTAGCATCTGGGAGCAGTGGCATTGCTGTGCTAATCCCTATGTCACTTATTGAACCCAGGGAGCCCAAGAATTTGAATTTTTAACTGCTCCCAAGTGAAGATGATGAGGCTGGTTCAGGGACCTCACTTTGAGTACTATTGCTCTAGTTAGTAGATCTTAGAGGCTCATCAGAGTCACCTAAGTTACTTTTTAATTATTATTTTCAAAGTATTTTTGTTTTTAAAAATAATTTATTTCAGGAGGTAACTGATAGATTTAATTAAAATGGTAACAATAAAAGTGAAACTTTACTTTTAAGCACAGCTAGTAAACTTTTGATTCTTCCAGTTTCATTTATTATCATTATTATTATTATTATTTTGTTTTAAACTCATTAAGGACCTCTCTTTTTCCTTTTATAGGCTCTTATTGCTGAGACAGTTGGAAGTTATGACACCATGGATCTCTTCAGGCACACTACAGAACTCAGTATGCATGTAAGAATTTTGAACGTTCTTCTAGATGATTCATTAATGAAACAAGTATTATTCTTGTCAAGGAAATGAGTAGATAGTGGCATAAGATGTTAATGACAGCCGTTGTCTCTACTCTTTATTCTTTTTTAGAAACAGATAAGCTACTTTAATTAAAGAACTTGTAGTTTTCATTTTCTTACAGCATTCAGAGCTGATTAAGAAATGACATTGAGATTTGATAGATACAGTAGCAGTCATGTAGAATAGAAACTGAGACTCTAGGAAAAAAAATAGACATGAAATAAGGACTAGACTTGGTTGAGATTTCTAGTTTATTTATGCAAATACTTTAGAATTCTTTTTTTTAGTTCGACCTGTGGGAATGGTGCTGAGGAGAGAAAAACCAACCCATTAAATGGGGCTCTGTTTTCTGCATTTTATCCTGTTTGATTCTTCTACTTAGGATTGGAACAAGTGATTTAAATATGTTCTTGGCTATGTTTTATCATAATGACTCTTCATTTCAAGGCATATAACAGTTTACTTAAAGAAGACTAAGATGTGATATTTATTGTATTGAAGGTGCATTGTTTTATTTCCTAATTTTTATTGGCATATTTATTACCCTATGTCCACTTGTTAACTTTGGCTTTTTTGAAGACCGAGGGAGCAATAGGTTATGCATATTGGGTCTGCACAACATTGCAAGATAAAAGCAACAGAGAAACAGAGCTTTACAAGTACAACATCCTCCAGATGAATGCTATTCCAGCAGCACAAGTTGTTTTGAGTAAATACATAGGTAAGGTACCTGTCATATAATGGCAAGATATTTGAATAACTGTTGAAATAATTTAAAGAATTTTTAAAACTAATTCATTCCAAATTAAATAGTAGTGTTCTTTAAGACATGAATTTGCCTTTTTTTCCCCAGTGGCCAAGCAGTCTACTTTTTAAACTTTAAGGGCTTTTGAAGAATGATGAAAATTGCTTGTTACCTAATAACTCAAGATAAAAGTGATTTCCAGCCAGGCACAGTGGCTCACGCCTATAATCCTAGAATGTTGGGAATCCGAGGCAGGAGGTTTGCTTGAGACGAGGAATTTGAGACCAGCACAGCAAGACCCCTGTCTCTATAAAAAATAAAAAAATTAGCTGGGTGTGGTGGTGTGTGTCTATAGTCACAGTCCCTTGGGAAGCTGAGGTGGCAGAATTGCTTGAGCCCGGGAGTTCGAGCTATGATCTCACCGCTGCACTCCAGCCTGGGCGACAGAGTGAGTGAGACCCCGTCTCTAAAAAAATTAATTAATTAAAAAAAAAGATGA